ATCCCTGGATCATTCCCTACACAATCATATAGGCTTCTAGGTACCCGACCACCTACCAAAATAGTCATATTTTCTACCATTGGATAAGAAATTACTTATTAAGTTTAAAACCATAACATGTGAGTAAATTTTTCAACGAGTCCATGTTTCAGCTTGACAGATTCGTGTGGAAAATATTTCTCCTATTTTTAACAAATCCTTAAAGAAAACTCTGTTTAATTTCTGTAACCCCCCCCCCCTCATCTTGGTGGGTTATAATGCTAAAAAATCAAGTTTCTATACCCGCGGTAGGCAGAGCACATATAGCCCACTGTTTAACTTTGTGTTTAACTACAAACAAACTGTAACTTTCGTTATTTTATTTCTGTTTACTTTGCAGTGATATTTATGTAAAATGAATTATTAGATAAAAGCCATAAGTGTGCTAATTAAATAAAATTACTCTAAGTACAGAGATCACACATATTCGAAAAGGCTTATACGATCCTTGATGGTCGTTTCGCCAAGATGTTGACCATGACCTTCTCGTTACCTTAGAGCAGTTTTAACAATTTATTTGTAAGTTTAGGTTTTATCACGTTGTAGCTGTATTTGTTCATCATGGAACTGAGAATAAAATTTTACTTAGTTCCTATAGAGGGCGCGGCTCTGTGGTAGAACTCTGAATTAATTTTAGATTTTATCACGCTGTAGCAGTATTTGTTCATTATGGAACTGAGAATAAACTTTTACTTTGTTCCTATAGAGGGCGCGGTTCTGTGGTAGAACTCTGGATTTTGAAGTTGGCGAGCCGGGTTCGAAACTTTGCAATACCACAAAATATTTCCCGCACTTTAAGATGTAGATATGTTATAAGAATAACATTAAATCCCTTAGTTTTAATGGTGCGTGACATTGTGCTGCTTTCCCTCTGGCGAATAGTTCAAAATTATAAAAGACGGCAGTAAGCCTTAGTAGCGTTGCCATAAAAACAAAATATACATGTTTTTTTTTTGTTTTTTTTTGTTAAACACAAATCACACAACGAGTTGTCTGTGGTGTGCTTACCACGACTATCAAAACCCGGTTTTTAGCGTTATAAGATTTCAGACTTGCCGCTGACTTAGTGGCGGGCAAATAATACAACTAATAGAATAATATGTATTGTAGTAAATGTAAAACACCAACAAGTTTCTCCATAAATACCAAAAAATAAATGGTTCTTATTATGTAAGAAACAAAAAGTACATTCACAAACTAACGGGAAATCACAATAGTTTCTCAAACACGTACATAAACGATCATTTCTTTCATTCTGATTCTTTTTTTTTAACTCTAGATTTGCAGTTTTGTTTTTATTTTTTAACTTCCAGCAAAAATATGGCCTAGTGAATATCGTGCCTATCTGTGAATACAAGGATTCGCGTCCCATTACCGCAAAAACATGATCCGAATTATTGGGCCGTGGGTGCGTTATATGAGTAACGGTCAAATCCAACTGATCGGTTAGAGTAGCCCAAAAGTTAGCAGTGGGTGACCTTGACTAACTCGCTGCCTTCCCTCTAATGTATCAATTCAAAATTATGGACGGCTGACGTAAATAACCTTTGTGTAGTTTTGGACGAATTTCTGGAACAAACAAAGAAAGAGATATTAGACAGTAGTACTCTGTATGTGTTCTTCTTCATTGTACCCAGTGTATTTCTCTGTATGTATTCTTATTCACTGTATCCAGTGTATTTCTCTGTATGTATTCTTCTTCATTGTACCCAGTGTATTTCTCTGTATGTATTCTTCTTCACTGTACCCAGTGTATTTCTCTGTATGTATTCTTCTTCACTGTACCCAGTGTATTTCCCTGTATGTATTCTTATTCACTGTATCCAGTGTATTTCTCTGTATGTATTCTTCTTCACTGTATCCAGTGTATTTCTCTGTATGTATTCTTCTTCATTGTACCCAGTGTATTTCTCTGTATGTATTCTTCTTCACTGTATCCAGTGCATTTCTCTGTATGTATTCTTTTTCACTGTACCAAGTGTATTTCTCTGTATGTATTCTTCTTCACTGTATCCGGTGTATTTCTCTGTATGTATTCAAATGATGACAAAAACCGAACTGTCGCTTCATTTTCTCTCAGTACAACAAACAACTTTAAAACTATGTTGTTATTCCTGATCATGATAGTAAACACCACGTAGGATCACAGATAAGATTGGTTAGTCACATAAAAAAGAAAAACCATAGCGTTTCAATCTCAATGAAGACCCGTCGAAAGCTCGAGGGTTTTACCGTTTTTCGTATTTTTTAGATTTTTGTTTTTATTCTTGTAGCTGTGCATTGTCAGTATATAGTAACTAGTCCTATAGAACGTAAGACTAACCCGTCCATTGTCAGTATATAGTAAATAATCCTACAGAACATAAGATTAACCCGTCCATCGTCAGTATATAGTAAATAATCCTACAGAACGTAAGATTAACCCGTCCATTGTCAGTAAATAGTAACTAGTCCTACAAAACGTAAGATTAACCCGTCCATCGTCAGTATATAGTAACTAGTCCTACAGAACGTAAGATTAATCCGTCCATTGTCAGTATATAGTAACTGGTCTTAAGAGCATCAGATTAACATATGCTTTGTCAATATATAACAAATAGACCTACAGAACGTAAGATTAACCCGTTCATTGTCTATATGTAACAACTAATCCTATAGAACGTAAGATTAATTCGTCCATTATCAGTATATAGTAACTAGTCCTACATAACGTAAGACTAACTCGTCATTTGTCAGTATATAACAACTAGTCCCACATAACGTAAGACTAACCCGTCCATTGTTAGTAAAAACTAACTAGTCCTACATAACATAAGACTAACCCGTCCATTGTCAGTATATAGTAACTAGTCCCACATAACATAAGACTAGCCTGTCCATTGTCAGTATATAGTAACTAGTCCTTTAAAATTATTACAAGGGTACTAACTGACTCTTCGCAACAAAAACCTTTCTAAATTGTTTTGTGAGGACGAAATAATTTCTTTACTGCTCGTCAATGTTAAATAATACTGTTATGGTGTGAACACCTTTTACAGGTTGGCGAAGCACGATTATAATCAATTGTACTTGTCATAAGATATTATCTTAGGCCTAACGATTATAATCAATTGTACTTGTCATAAGATATTATCTTAGGCCTAACGATTATAATCAATTGTACTTGTCATAAGATATTATCTTAGGCCTAACGATTACAATCAATTGTACTTGTCATAAGATATTATCTTAGGCCTAACGATTACAATCAATTGTACTTGTCATAAGATATTATCTTAGGCCTAACGATTATAATCAATTGTACTTGTCATAAGATATTATCTTAGGCCTAACGATTATAATCAATTGTACTTGTCATAAGATATTATCTTAGGCCTACTATATTTTTATCACTACATCCAGAGCTCATCAGGTCGGCTGCAACACAATGAACGCAACAGTGGTTGGAACACAGTTTATATAAGCCATTCGTAATGGTGTGAACACGTTTTAGAAGCTGGCGAAGCATATACATAAAGAACGTAGCGTTAAAATACATTATAGGCCAAGTATTAATGTCTTTTGACAAGTATAATTAATTAAGTAAAAACATATCCATATATAGCATTTTTGTTGTTGAGCAGAGCCACATTGGGCTATCTGCTGTGTCCACCGTGGAGAAAATAACCTCGGATTTTAGTGTTGTGAATCCGTTAACATACCGCTGACTCACGAGGAGACTCATTTGTAACAACGAAGTATCCTACACTACAAACATTTTAGTAATTATTTCAGCGAAACCTGGTGTACGTTCTGAAACCTATTTTTATACGCATGTAGTTTTGGGGACAGTGTTTGAACGTATTGATTGGACGAGGTTTTGTCCAATCATTATTGGTTGAGCTTCTACACACTTAGCCACTCCTGTTGGGACCTTTTGGGCCATTCCATAAAGTCTCTGTTACTATGAGTGGGAATCGTATAGTCGGTTTTCAGGTTTTTCTCATGGTATTAAACTAAGAAACTTTGCGTGAGTTAACTTTAACTCCAGTTATTGTGGTAGCGTAATTTAACTCTTTTCTTTTTCCTTTTTTTTTTTTTATTGTTGTCATGTTTACTTTCTGACAGACTGTTATTTCCTTTAGCGCATGCTCATCAAAATCACTATATAAAGTACCCGGATTATTACAGGGAAGTAATATTAAACTGTGTAGAGAACAACACACACACAAAAAACGACAGCTGTTTCTCGGAAGATTCTAAAAAACGACACCAGAGGACCACTAATAGAAACAAACTGAAATGTTTGTCTTTAACGTTATCTTCTATTGTGAGTGATGACGACAAGCGGTCCGACATCGAAGCCACCTGCGCGCCGGGAAAACAATCGCACGACTGCACGCTCGCTTTCGACTTCTCAGCTAGAAACCGATGCCACCAAGGCCGCTTCCCCTCCTCCTCTGTTTCGTACCGTTCTGTTACGTAAGTGAAGTTAGATTCATGTTTAAGTTGGAATATAGATATTTTAGAAAGTAAAATATTTATGGGAACGACAACAATTAATAAAACTGTCCAATTAAATCCATATATATATATATATATAACATGCAAAATTGTGGCATGTTCGGTGTACTTTATAGTCGGCGCCCGTGTCTATATTGTTTGTTTGTTTGAAGTTAAGCACAAAGCTACACAATGGGCTATCTGTACTCTGCCCACAATAGAGCTGGTTTCTAGCGTTGTAACTCCGCAGGCATACCGCTGTGCCACAGGGGGGGGGGGGTCAGTGTTTATATATAATTGCTGTTGGTGTTTGTTATGAAGCACAAAGCTACACAAAGGGCTATCTGTGCTCTGCCCACCACGGGTATCGAAACCCGGTTTCTAGAGCTATAAGTCCGCAGACAAAGGCACCTAGGGGGCATAGAATTGACATGAGCTGCTAAATGTAATGTCAATTTTGGTGCCCACACCAGGGACCGGGCCTGATGTTAGAGCACATATATATATTAAGAGAAAATTTCAAAAGCACCAATAAATATAACATAAAATTTATTGTTCTTGGAGCATTTCATAAAAAAAAATACTTCAAACGTTCCTGATTTCGTTATATATATTTTCAGAACAATTCAATTAAATAGTTAAATCTTCGGGTTGTTTAACATCGTCCTGATGAAGTCTTCTGTAGCACTGTTCAAAAACTAGCCAAAATGTACAGAATTTTCGGATCAATCTTATATAGGTGCGTCACCAAAACTCCGTTTAAAAACATTTGATGATTCTAATTAATATCGATATTTTTCTAATCTCAATTGATTCAATATTATACTTTGATATATTTTTTATTATGCAGTACTTGAAAAAAAAACTGATTTTAGATGATTAATTAAAAAGTATTATTAATATTCGCTTTCTTATTTCAATGGCTAGAGTGAGGGATTTAACCTCTATTCTTGTTACGTGATAGTTACTGAGGCGCCGCCTGTCATATATAACAGAAACTATAAGTTTTGTTGGAAATGTTGAAGCACCCATTTCATTGAATTGGTTAGGGCGCTCGACTCGCAATCTGAGGGTCGCGGGTTCGAATCTCCGTCCGACCAAACATGTTCGCCCTTTCAGCTGTGGGGGAGGGGCGTTATAATGTGATGGTCAATCCCACTATTCGTTGGTAAAATAGTAGCCCAAGAGTTGGCGGTGGGTGGTGAAGATTAGTTACCTTCCATCTGGTTTTTCACTGCTAAATTAGGAACGGCTAGCGCAGATAGCCCTCGTGTAGCTTTGCGCGAAACTCAAAACAAACCATTTCATTGAAATGAAGACTTTTTTTTGTTGTTGTTGTTTGTGAATTCAAGTAAATCAAGCAACTCGCTTTGTATAGGAACGCATTTATTTTATTGCACATGTTTCTACTTAAAGGTGTCTTAATTTCTTATACTTTGGGTCTGAATGGCGTTTTACTGTAAATTAAAATACAATAAACGAACTTGTTTTGTTTTTTTCTCGAGATTTGAAATAGATTTAATTCTTACTTTTGTCAAACTTCTCACTTTTTTCATCTTCGAAGAAAAGTTTAATCATTAAAGTATTCCTCGATACTTTAATGTTTTAGTCCTTTAAGAAACTCCAGATACCTCGTTGCTTCGCCACAAACCAGGAATAATTAAGCTAAAACGATACTTTGTGTATTAGTCCTTTATGAAAGGTCGGAAATCGTGTTGCCCTAAATGTCAACATGAATAACTTAGTATATATATATACAAGTGACGCCCGGCATGGCCAAGTGATTAGGGCGCTCGACTCGCAATCTGTGGGTCGCGGGTTCGACTCTCTCTCACACCAAACAAATAAGCCATGGGGGCGTTATAATGTGACGGTCAATCCAACTATTCGTTGGTAAAAGAGTAGCCCAAGAGTTGGCGGTGGATGGTGATGACTAGCTGCCTTCCCTCTAGTCTTACACTGCTAAATTAGAGACGGCTAGCGCAGATAGCCCTCGTGTAGCTTTGCGCGAAATTTCACAAACAAAAACAAATATATACAAACTAATGATAGATTACAGTAATAAATGAATTTTATAACCCTCAATCAGCCAATAAAGTTGTCTACACTTTGAACTAACGTCTCCTTATTCGAAAAATAGTTTACTATCAAAGTAGTAAGAATTTCCGGTGTAGTTTAATAATACTGAAGGTGTGTTCCTGTTGAAGAGAAGTCCAATCAAAACGACTGTTCCTGTTGACGAGAACAGAAACACAACTCTAAGTCCAATCAAAACGACATCCGTAACATTTTATTATACGAAATAAAATCTCAAGGTATCGCGAAGTATGACAAAATATCACAAATACATGAGCAGTAAGGTTGAATATTCTCGACCACAACAACATCGTCATTTCATTTGCAAAAACCATCGAAATGAATCATTACAACAAAGATTAATCCGTTTTATCAATTCATCACAGTATCTTTTGTTAAGTTTTTTGTAATTATTTTATTACTCTGTTTATTTCTATTACCTGTGTTGTATATATATATAATAGCTTATCTACTTTTTCTCGTTTCATTTTAAAAAGTTTTCTTACCCTAAAGACATACTGCATTGTTTGTAATTAAGCACAAAGCTACACAATGGGCTATCTGTGCTCTGCCCACCACGGATATCGAAACCCGGATTCTAGCGTTAACTCCACTAGAAGGTGAAATCACGAAGGCCCAGAGAAATAGGTGTCAGTATTGTCGCTTCCAAAAGTGTCTTCGTCAGGGCATGGTTCTGGCAGATGAGTTTGTTTGTTTGTTCGTAATTAAGCACAAAGCTACAAAATGGGCTATCTGTGCTCTGCCCACCACGGGGATCGAAACTCGGTTTCTAGCGTAGTAGTCTGCAGACATACCGCTGTGCCACTGGTGGGCGGTTTTGATAATGGTTTGTTTGTTTCTTTGTTTGTTTGTAATTAAGCACAAAGCTACACAATGGGCTATCTGTGCTCTGCCCACCACGGGGATCGAAACTCGGTTTCTAGCGCAGACATACCACTGTGCCACTGGGGGACCACTACTGCATTGCAAGCCAATAAATCATCTTTCCTCAAATTATGTATACGTTTTGTGTCTCGTTTATTATTCAGTAATTGTGGCATATTATGATTAGTTTGTGGTACTCTTTGGTACCTTGTGATCGATCTGTGGTAATTAGTTGAACAAATATTTTACAGCAGAATGTTGTACTTGTAGCTATGTGTTTTTAGTCTTAGCGTGCAGTTTGAGTGTATACAACTACTCGGCTTTTTATTTGCACAATCATAACTTACTAGTTTTTATTACAGCACAGAAAGAATAATTTTTGACGTTTTCGGAAACACAGAGAAATACAAACATTTAAACATACTTTTACAAATGTAATTATGTCATAGCTAACTGCTAAAGTCAAATAGAATGTTTTTGTTGAGTTATCAAAATGACACAACTTTTTAATGTATTCATTTATACGTTGGTACAGGTGACCTTCATTTAAATATAGATTATATGGCAAAAAATCATAAGTTGGTACAAGAAACCTTCACTTACAGTTAGTTTACATGGCAAGCAATCGTACTTAAAGTTAGATTATACAGAAACAATCATGTGTTAGTACAGGAGACCTTCTCTTAAAGTTAGATTATACAGAAACAATC